TGTCCCATGATGACGTCAGAGAAGCTGTTTAACGAAGAAAATGCAAAAAGCATCAAAATCGTCTCACAAAAGTCAATTTTTTAAAGATGTGTGTTAGCATCTTCAGTGAGTTATGGTCAGTAACCCCACACACAACCACTTTTTCATAAGTTTTAAATCACACCAGCATAAATAAATTGGTTTATTTATTTTGACAGTATTGAAGACATTAGTTCCAACTGTAGCGCGCATATTTGGTTAACTTTTGTTTATTTAATTTTGTGCTTTCTTTTCTGGTGTTGTGGGGGTGCAATCAACTGGGAGAATGTGGCTGACAATCATGGACTGATTGGGTCGTACCATCTGGAGTTCCACTATGGGGGAAGACCATGGGCTCCACATTTTAAATATGTTGCATCATTTATTCTTCTTCTTACTTTTGTGATTTGCTCATTTGGTTAATTTGTTTAATGATTGTCATTTAAGTTTAATCCTTAAGCTAACTGTTTAGTTATTTTTTGTTAAATTGGTGCAGATGTTCTCCCTCCCTCTTCCTCAGTGTGTCAGTCTGGTCTGATCAGCCAGTATTTAAGTCCCCTTTGTTTGCTGTGTGTCAGGACAGTTTTTTTGTTTTTTCAGTTAGTTTGAGGTTTGATATGTTTGAACTTGATATTTTTTTTGCCCTGAATTTTTGGTTTGGATTATTGTTACTTTGGGGAAATAAAACCCAGTTTTTTGACAATCACCACTGTGTCCTCATGCTTGGCTTGCTCGGTCCTTCACATGAGTTAAGGAGAGAAATAAATTATTTTAAAACCATAATTACGTTATTCATGGACACCCGGATGGATATCTTTTTTGCGCATGAGCAGGACGGATGGTGTAGTGACACCAGACCGAAGCCGGATCTCTTACCACTTTGGGCCAGCAGTTGATGCCCACTCTCTTGTGCAGGGTGGTGGAGAGGAGGACTAAGAGCAGAGCGGTGAACAGGAAGGCCGTGCAGCTCACAAACTCAAAGAAGTAGAGAGGGGAGCAGCTACTGCAGCTGGTGACGGTCTCCTCCAGGACGAAGGCCACCAGGGAGAAGAGCTGCAGGAGAAACATGAGAGTCAGAGCAAAGTTCTGCCACCAGGGGGCGACACAGCCAGCCTCCAAAGGAGAAATGAGCAGACCTGCAGAAAGTGAGGTGTGGATGTGATAAAGGCCCGGTTATTCAGTGGTTCTGGTTCAGGTCTCTGCTGCATCTACAGCAGGAACCAGACTAACGCCTGCAGCTGTGAAAACACACCCAGGCTGAAGCTGCAGAACCGCCCAGACAGCTTCAGGCAGAGCGGACCGGTTCTGGGCGTGTCTGAGAACAACGGCCCGACCTGCGACTCAGCAGAACCAGCACTTCTCTCCTAAACAGCTTCCTGTTTTATGAGACAATCAGATAAACTCATTCTAGATGCGATTATCTACACTGGAGTTTATTCTCCGTTTGCTTTTTTCTGTAATTTTTCAGGTGAACTGACTTTTTCAGATCAGAAATGTTCTGTTTTGGTTCTGATGGACTGAGACTAAAACCCAGAAGCTTCTAGAAGCTGAAAAGTGAATCTATTTTACTGCTGGTTGATCCTGCAGACAGAACAGAGAACAGAACCCGTCCAGAACCACAGAGCCGAGGATCAGTGAAGCAGACCGACTGAAGTTCTGATGGTCCACAGAACCGTCACCTTGGCGGGAATCATCCAGCAGAAAAAAACTGAAGACTTCCTGTCAGGCGCTTCCAGGAAAGAGGAAGGCTTTTATTGTGAAAGGATCCAGGAAGTGGTGCTAAGGTCAGCGTTTGGGGAGTGTTAGACACCGAGACAAGTTCTCATCAGAACCGGTTTCAGGCAGAGGTTCTAAAGAGAGAGGAGGGGATGAGGAAACCGGATCCATTGGACCCGAAAACAGAACCTGGAAACTTTTCTTCAGTTCAGATTTCAGAACATTTATGGTTGATTGGTCCTGGTTAAATCCGGTCCTGCACAGAACCGGTCCTGCACAGAACCGGTCCTGAACGCTCACTGATGGCTCAGACCAGAGTCCTGCACGGCTCTGATTTTTCAGAACCATCCTCCAGCACCCATAGAGTTCAGAACCAGGAGCCGAACCGTTAACCGCAGTTATCAATTCAGTTTATTTATATAAAGCCAATTCAGTGTCCCTATTAAAACCCGGCTGGGACCGAACGGATCGATAAATAATGAAGAGCGACCCGGGATCACAGAGCTTTATATTAAAGATCAACCAGCACGCCGTGCTCACAGATGAACAGCTGTAAATCTGCCGAAGTCAGAATGTTTCCCTCATCGTTATCTGGATATTTTTTAATCAATTTATTTAGTTAATAAATAAGAAAATATCAATATATTTTAATTTATGCTGTAACTCTATGATACCCGCATTTCTATAAATAATATGGAGGTTTTCTAGACGCTCTGGCTAAAGTTTCTCCTGGTTCTTCTGATGCAGAGTCCGGTGGGGGTTGGGTCGGGGGGGCAGATGCCCCCCCACACACACACACCCCCCCACACCCTTCAGTTAGTTGTTGCAACAGCGCCGGGTCAGAACCGGCCCAGATCTGCTGATGCCAGACAAACGGTTGTGTCTGCAATAGTTTCGCTTCTCCATGCTCGGCTTCCTGCCGGATGAGGAACCAAAGTCCAGGAGGTCCACTCCTCACGGCGCCGCTGGGCCACAACAGAACTCTGACAAACACGGACCTCTGACCCGGTTTCAGAACCCAGCAGTAAGAGACAAACCTGCAGCAGAAAACAACTAAAAATCCACAGCTGCAGTCTGAGTGACCTTCTAGAACCAGAACCAGACCCGATTGGACCCACCTTTCAGAACCATTTGGTTTGAAATTAGCCCTGATTAGTGATCAGGGGATTTTAATAGATTTGAAATCAGAATTCTGGCCTCTGACCCAGTTTAAGGTGACCTTTGACCTTTAGAAACAGGTCGTTCTTCCATTGAACCTGAGAGACTGAATCCTCCCTCCATCCCCCAGAACACCAGGTGGTTCTGGATCCAGGTGGTTCTGGATCCAGGTGGTTCTGGATCCAGGTCCAAACACCATCAGAACATTTTACTCTGTTAGAACCAAACTGGACCGGGCTCCATTTAACCATCATACTGAAACTGGGTCGGGTTAGTTCTGCTGAAGCCAACCAGCACCGTAAGATGAAGCAGCTCATCAGAGCACGGACCCGGTACCGAAGCCTCAGCCCAGGTTTAGTTTCATGTACCGACCCGGTTTCTGAGCCCAGTGTAGGGTCAGAAGGCTCTTACTCCTCCTTCGCCCCCGGCAGCGGAACCAGACACGGACCCGACACTCAGCTCCAACATGGCGCAGGGCGTGATCACACCCCGAACTGCCGGAGGTCCGACTGTGAAGACCGCTGCTGATCTGGGCGGGTTCTGCAACCGCTGGATCCGGTCCGAACCAGGAGAACATGAGCGGAAGCCGATTCCCTGCAGAGGATGAGGGAAGCTCAGCCTCTCATTCTGAGATGCTGGAGGTTTCTTCCTGTTCAAAGGGAGTTTTTCCTCTCCACTGTCGCTACAAGCATGCTTAGTG